CCAAAAAAGCAGGAATTGCAATCATTCTATCAGACAAAGAAAAAACTAACAATCAAAAAACATGGAGATAAAAAAAGAAACTACATTATTCTGAAAAGAATCATAGACAACAAACCAATATTGCTCATGAACTTGTACATTCCAAATGCCTTAGCATCCAAATTCATAAAGGAAACAGTAACTAAGTTACCAAAAGACATAGACAGTAACACAATAGTGAGAAGAGACTTCAATATCAGTTTTTGATAAGTCTAGCAGAAAGATAAACAAAAGAGAAAATATGAAACTGAAAAAAATGCCGAAGAAACTAGAGTTAAAACACTTGTGGTATCTTCTAAAGTGGAGTGCAAAAGAATATACATATCTCAACACCATGTGGAACTTTTACAACAATTGATCATTCATTAAAGCACAAAGATATTGAAAAGAAATGTTTAAAAAGAGGCAGAAATAGTTAATACATCCTTTACAGATGACAATGTATTAAAAGTAGTCATTAGTTCAAGGACTACAAAAAAAAAAGGAAAGAAAAAACAAAAAACACAAACCCAAGTGGGATGACAATGAAATTCTGAATAAGGAATGAGCCAAAGAACAAATTGTAGAAATAATTAATAATTATGTGAAAGAAAATGACAATGATGAAACAATATACTGAAATTTTTAGGATGCAGTCTTCAGGAGAAAAAAATCATATCCCTACAAATATGTTAACAGAATAGAAAAATAGAGGATTGATAAACTGAATATACATCTGAGAATTATAAATCTGATAGATAAACAAAATTAAACACAAAAGAAGAGATACTAAAATTAGAGGGGAAATAGATAAATAAGAAACAAAAAACCATAGAAATGATAAATAATAAAATTGATAAACCTTAAGCTAATCTGATTAAAAAGAAAGTATGGAAAATCAAATCAATGAAATAGCAAATGAATATGGGAAAATCACAACAAAACCAGAAGAAATAAAAAGAATAATCAGAATAGATTATGCAAAGTTGTATGCTAACAAAACTGAGAACACAAAAGGAAGAGAAAATAAAATTATATTCAAAAATATAAAAAACTCAAACTATCAGAAGATCAGATAGAGACTTTAAATAACCCAATCTCAGAGAAGAAAATAGATCTGGCAGTAAAGGAGCTACCAAAATAAAAACTCACAGTTCTGATGGATTCACAGAAGAATTCAATTAAACTGTTAAAGAAAAATACTCATACTTCAAAAATTATTCTCAAAAATTGAGAAAGAAAGCATTTTACCAGAATCTTTTCATAAAACAAATATATTTAAGCCAAGGAATGATGAAATACAGAAGGAAACCTATAAACCAATAATATTTAAGCCAAGGAATGATGAAATACAGAAGGAAACCTATAAACCAATATTATTAGTGAATATTAATTTTTAATAAAATCCTGTCAAATAGATGATAGCAATTTATCAAAGAAATTATTTGTTATGCAAGTGGAATTTATACCAGGGATGCAAGGATGCTTTAACATTAGGAAAACATTCAATATACTTAATCATGTTAAAAACCAAGACATCCAAAACCACATGATCATCTCAACAGATGCAGAAAAAGTCTTTGACAAAGTGCAGTACTTTTATGCTAAAAATCCTACAAAGTACCACATCATGACTTTCCCCATCAAAGTTTCAATATATTGTGGGTCAGCATAAGAAATTAATTGGGAATTTTAGGAGATTTTTGTGGAAATGGCAAACAACACACAGAGGCCAGCATATGGCACACAAAAAGTTTAGAAACTCAGAAATGCACAAAATATATGTATAGTATTTTATGATATCAACATATTTTTTCTTTTAATACCATAATAATTCAGAATTCTTCTCTGGTATGAAGGGAGGGCCAAAAATTTTTATGTGGATTTTCCAGGTTGCAGGGTGCCACCCACTTAACTCCCACAATGTGGAAGAGATAACTATATAGGCATGGATAGACTTTTTTAAAAAAAAATATACCACAAGAAGCATCCAAAAACCAAAAACCAAAAACCAAAAGCAAGCATCATATGCAATGGGGATACACTTGATCCCTTTCTAATAAATATGAGAATGAAGCAAAGATGGCCATTCTCCCTACCTTATTTGAGGAAGTTCTAGAAATGCTAGCAGTAAGAAGGCAAGAGAAAGAAATGAATTAAGATAAGTAAAGAAGAGATAAAAACTCTCCTTGTTTGCTGCTAATATGATGGTCCACTTGGAGAGTCCTAGGGAATTAGCAAAGATATTAGTTGAGACTATTAATAGTTTCAACAAAGGCTGCAAAATAAACCCTCAAAAATAAACAGCATTTCTACATGATAATAACGAAACCAAGAAACAAAAATAAAAAGGGAAATCTCATTCCAAATAACTACAAAATTCATGAAATATCTAGGGATTCATCTACTAAAGCATATAAAACACACGTATATATTCAATTACAAAATGCTCCTTAAGGAAACAAAGAACAACTTAAATAGCTGAAGGAATATTCAGTTTTCTTGGCTAGGCCATACCAATATAATAAAAATGATACTACTACCAAAATTAATTTATGCTTTTAATGCTATGCCAATCCAGTTACCAAGGTGATACTTTATAGAACTTTATAAAATAATAACAAAATTCATTTATAAAAACAAAAAAAAATCTAGAATATTAAGGGAAATTATGAAAAGAAAGAGACAAAGGAAGAATAGCTCTTCCAGATGTCAAACTATATTATAAAACAACAGTCATCAAAACTATCTGGTATTGGTTAAATAAACAAAAAGATAGATCAATTGAACAGATTAGAAAAAGGAGAATTCCGAAACAATGGAACCCAGTGTTTGATAAAGTGGAAAACATAATCTACTTAGGAAAAAACTCCATATTTGATAAAAAAAAAAAACTAGGAAAACTGGAAAGCAGTCTAGTAGAAATTAGGCTTAGACTAATACCTTACACCCTTCTCCACAATGCTTTCTAAATGGATATGTGACCCTAATGTTAAAGATTATACTATAAAAAAAAACATTAGAAGAGAAACTGATCATATACATACCTCTCACCACTATAGGCAGGAAATGTATTCTTAACCAAGAGACAGAGGTAAATACAAAATATAAAATAAATAACTTTGACTACATCAAACTAAAAAGCTTCTGCATAGATATTCTATCACTTGACTCTGGGCATTTTCTCTGGCTGTCCCCTATACCTATTATGCTCTCTCTCCTCATGTCCAACTATTGGCTTCCCTAGCTTCCTTTAAGTCCCAACTAAAATCTCATCTTCTAGAGGAAGTCTTTCTCACCCCTCTTAATCTAGTGCCTTCCCTATCTTAATTATTTCTATTCATATTGATGAAGTTGTATACTGATTCAATCATTCTGGAGAGCAATTTGGAACTATGCCCAAAGGACTACACAACCATGCATACCCTTTGACCAAGCAATACTTCTAGTAGGTCTGAATCCAAAGAGATAAAAAACAAAAAGGAAAAAGAACTATGTGTACAAAAATATTTATAGCAGCTCTTTTAATGATGACAAAGAATTGGAAATTGGGGGGATGTCTGCCAATTGGGGAATGGTTAACAAGTTGTATATGATTGTGATAGAATACTATTGTGCTTTAAGAAACAATGAGCAGGATGATTTCAGGAAAACAGGGAAAGACATGAACTAATGCAAAGTGAAATGAGCAGAACCAGGAGAACATTGTACACAGTAACAGCAATATTTTATGATGATCTACCATGAATAACTTAGCTATTCTCAGTAATACAATGATCCAAGACCATTCTGTAGAATTTATGATGAAAGATGCTGTCCATCTCCAGAGAAAGAACTGCCTGAATGCAGATCAAAGATACCTTTTCTTTACTTTCTTGGGGTTTTTTGTCTGTGTTTTCTTTCACAGAATGACTTACATGGAAATGTGTTTTGCATGACTACACGTGTCAAATTGCTTGCCTTCTTAATGGGGGGGAAGGAGAGAGAGAATTTAGAACTCAAATTTTTTAAAAAGAAAAAGGAATGTTAAAATTATTTTTATACATAATCAAGAAAAATAAAATATTAAATAAATTTGGAAAAATATTTTTATGTATAGCTTGTTTGTATATATTTGTTTTTTGTCTCCCCCATTGGATTGTGAACAATTTGGGGCCATCTTTTGCCTCTTTTTGTATCCCCAGCACTTAGCACAGTGCCTGGAACATAATAGGTGCTTAAGAAATATTAATTGAATGAATGAATGTACCTAGGATAAGAAGTTGTTGTTATTTAGTTGTTTTTCAATCATGTCAAACTCTTCATGACCCCATTTGGGGTATCATTGGAAGAGATACTGAAGTGGTTTGCCATTTCCTTCTCCAGCTCATTTTACAGATGAGGAAACTGAGACAAACAGGATTAAGTGACTTGCCCAGTGTCACATAGAGAGTAAGTGTCTGAGGCCAGATTTAAAGTCACAAAGATGGGGGGTAGGGCTATATTAGCAACAGCAACCACCAGATAAATGCTGTGACTCAAGGTCAACCATTGGTATGGTATTTCCATAGCCTTCAATTTATATAATATTTTGATACAGTCTTGTCACCACTAGATGGAGTCCAGATATCAGCCCTGGCAGGTCAACCAGTGAATGTACATATAAGAAAACCAAGTTGCAGGATTGTAGGACTGCTAAAAGACAAGTTCTCAGCATAAAAGCATTCCCAGGCTCAGTTTCTCTCTTCTGCTGATAAACACAGCTATACAAAGAACTGTAGGACATGGAGAGGAAAATCTGGAGAGAGAAGATGTTGATGTTTATTTTGGCAAGAACTCATCCTTGGAACATCAGCCCAACAAATTATAACAGCTGAATGTGATGGCAAAAATGAAGATTTCAGAGAAACATGGGAAGCTTCATATAAATTGATGTATCAAAAGAAGCAGAACAATACATACAATGACTGCAGTAATGTAAAGGAACAAATGAAAAACCGGTAATGGCCCTGAATAATGAAAATATCTCCCATTTCTTGGCAGAGATGTGGGAGACTACCAGGTCAAAATATGATATATTTTGTCAGACACAGTCACTGTACTGTGCATTTCTGCTTAGTTGTTTTTCTTTGTTAAAGTTTGAATTTTTGGGTAGTGTGTGGGGCAGTGTGTTTTGAGAAGTTACTGTGATATAAAAAGAAATGGCACAAAAAGACATTTTTTTAAAATCTCATCATTCATTTATAATCATTCCCATTGGGATTTGGGGAAACTCATGGAACATGCCCATGTCCCCTTCCTTACATTCTGTCCCTCTGCTGATAGACTCTCTCTGAGGTCCTTCAGGGCCACTAGTCACATTCTATGTGAAGCCTTTCCTGATCTTCTCCCCTGTTCAAGAGCTACCTTGTACTGATTATATGGATGTATACTCACAATCATTAACACAGACATGCACAACAGCTGGCATTTACATAGCTCTTTAAGGTCTGCAAAGTGCTTTACATATGTTATCCCATTTGATACCATGACCCAGTGAGGTGGGTGCTATTATCCCCCTTTTACAGATGAGGGTACTGAGGCAGTTAGTATCTGTGTCAGAATCTAAACTTATGTCTTCCTGACTATAAGTTTAACACCATCCACTACATACATCAACTAGCTCTTTTAGGTTGTCTCTTGATAGAATGTAAGCTCCTTGAGGACAGGGACTGTGTAATTATTACCTTCATGTACCTGGCTCCTGCACAGTACTTGGTAACATAGTAGGCATGTAGGCATAGTAGGCTTATGTATTAATGTTAAAGTGCTGTTTCCTTCCACAGATTGTGAACTAATGCCTCCAAATTGAGAGAACTCCGAAAAGTGAGAAAAATTTTCACTTGAGGATAAATTTCCAGACACACCAGGGTGGGGAACCAGGGTGGGGTACTGCCTTAAGGCGGTAGATTCCCCACCCCTGCACCAGAGAATAATCTCTTTGGCCTTCTATTTAGTCAAGTATTGATTAAACAGCAGGATTTGCCCATGGTCTTCTACCAACTAACCAACGATTTATTTATACTCATGGACAAGTCAGCGCAATTGATTCTATCATGGAAATAACAAACATGAACTTGAACAAACTTAGAATGGCCTGGAGTCCATGGGGTCAGGAAGAGTCAGACATGACTGAATTATAACAACAACAACAAAAATCCTGTTCTTAGCTTTGGATAACTTGATTAGCTCAATTTCTAACATTTTTTCTGTCCTACCTTGACCTGACCCTTACAAATCCTCTTACTTTAAAACAGAAACAAAGCTGGGAATGTGGCCCAGAGAAAGTGAACAGAATGGAACATTGGGAATTGGTCAAAAAATGGATGGAATTGCAGTTTAGATAGTTCTCTTTAACCTACAGCAAATGTCTCCAATTTTTTTTATACCACACAGCTATCAGTAAAACATTGTGGAGAATAACTTCTCAATGTACATACATCTACTTATTTATGATGTGTACCCATGTGCTACAGTACTAATAATGATGAACATTATAAAACTTGGACAAAATAGAAGTTTTTTAAGGACGAGAGAAAAATGAAATAATATTCAAACCTAGTGCCAATAGAGAGCCACTGGAGTTTATTAAATATAGAGAGAGTGACATGGTCATATCCATGCTAAAGGAAAATCACTTTGGCAGCTGAGTGAAGGATGGATTGGAGTGGGATAGAATTGAGACAGAGGTGAGAGGTGATGAGAGGCTAACCTAGGGTGTTGACTCAAGGAAAGGGAATAGATGCAAGAAATGCTTTGGAGGTAGAAAATAAAATATTTAGCATAACTAATGTGTGAGGTGAGGGAGAATGAGGTGTCTAAAATGATCCTGACAGTGTGAATCTGGGTGATTGGAAGAATGGGAGCACCCAGAGTTGTGGGTTTGGAAGGAAAATTAATGTAGTGAGGTTAGTGATAAAGACCACAACACATCCACACCTTTACTGCCCAAGAGCAGGATGTTTGCCCTCCCCAGGAGCACCTACTGAAACTATGGGATGATTCTGGGAACAAGGGGTGGGTGCAGTTCTAAGAGGGAGAGTTTTATCCTCACCTCCTTCATGCCTTCTTCACAGATTCCTCGCAGATAAACAAGTCTTGATTCTTGATTCCATAGAGAGAAGTGTTTCACATCAAGCCAGTTCTCAACTGTCACATCCAATGGCCAATTTAACTCCCATTCTCCCAACAGTCAATCTGTAGCTATGCCCTTAACGAGACTGTGACAATTTTCTAGAGTTTCTATGACAGCTGCATTGGGAGTCGATTGGAAATGCACCCATTTATATGATGGTTGTCTCATCCTGAGGGCTGGGAATGTTTTAGTAGCCCAGTTTTCCTTGAATGCAGGGTAATAAGGGGAAATAGTGTGAGATAAAGCTGGGGAATTAGGTTGACACCAGAAGGACATGAATACTAGGCTAAGGCGTGCTCTATCTGGTAGACAATAGGAAATCCTGGAAGATTTTTGAGGACAGGAATAAGATCATCAGAACTGAGCATCAGGAAGAAACATGTAAGCCTATTTCTTCTCATCCAATGTTCACTGGAATTGGACAAAACCTTACTCAACGTTAATCTTTATAATAAACTATCATATACTTGACAATGATAATTTTCTCATCTTTAGATTTTTTAAGTTCTTAACCCCATTAGCCTTTACGTACAGGATTTGTCCTTATATTCTTTTATCCCAATTTCATTTTACTCAAATGTGTGAAATTTCATCAATTTGGAATTTCCCTACAGCCATGCAGTTTGCACCACATCTATACCCCCCTGTAGTAAAGATACCAATGAAGCACTCTAGCTGTCGACCTGCCATTCCTTTATGACATCCTTGACACCTGCTCTTCAGAGTTCCTGGTTGGTTATATGCTGCAATTTGCTCACACACTCATTGCTTACACACTTCTCATTGCCCTGTGTGTGAATCTTACCCGTAATTCTTTGGAGGCAGTGGTCTTTCACCTCTCACTGCCAGATAGCAATACTGGTAAAATGTTAGCATCAAAAAATGGGCCTTTGCTTTCATGAGAAGCTTTCAGGCAATAAGAGTTTTGAAACCTCCTTTGAGCAATCCAGCAGTTTCTTCATAGTCTCTTAAAAACAAACAGACCCCAAATCAAACACAGAATACTAAAAAGGACCTCACTAAGAGCCTTGACTAAGGCAGGAAGGTTCCATTCCATATCTTTCTTATACATTTCCATTAGCTTACCTGAGCACTTACCTGTTATTTAAAACAGCAATATAACATTGTTGATTCATATTCACATTTAAGATATCTAGGTTTCTCTGAGTGATTGTCACTTGTTCTACTTTATTTCCAAAATAGGGTTTTACTGTTAACTCTTACATACACAGTTTCTTCTGGGTATTTTTCCATTGTTGGCTTATGGGAAGTTCTTTTGTTCCTCCATGAGAAGTCTATGTCTTCAGTAGATTGTTACCCAAACAAATTCCAAATTATTTTTAACTGTACTATTTTTTCAATTTAACAAGGAATATTTAAGTAAACAAAACTACGTTGTTCTTCATGGCATCAAAAACACAAAACATTCTAGTCAATTTTGAGCTAAGTATTTGCAGATATTTCAAATGTCATGAACTGTTTAGTTAATCTTGATGGAAACATGTTGCCAGCACCAAAGGAAAACTACAAATGACTTCAATTATTCAGGGAACTAGGATTCCAAATTATTTCTTCCTCCTCCTTAGAGCTTCCATAGTCCGATAAGTCAGTGCACCTACCATGTTTAAATTCAAAATACATTTGTATCATCAAATTTGGGTCATACATTGTAGTCTTTAAAAGACTACGAAAGGCCAATAAATCTAAAAAAGAAATATCTTCAAAGGCCTATTATGATGGTCTTTATAAAACATCCAGTGGTTATATGATGAGACTTTATGCAAAAAACTTACAAAATCAAATATTTTATGACCATTTGATCATTACTCAGTGACTTGCATTTTTAAAAAGTATTAAGAGAATAAAATGGTAATGATTAGGATGGGGTAGGTCTTTGTGGGAAAGGGCCCCTCCAATAGAAATGAACACGTGCCCTAGCCCCTCAAAATCCCCAAGGACTGGGGCTACATCCACAATGACTAGCCATTGATATCTGGGAGAAGGTACAGAGAAGCTGCCTCCCAGGGTCTGTAAGAGTGAGTTACAATTCACCTTTATTAAACCACTTTTATACTTTTTTTTCTCATTCTTCCTGTCCCTGTCTTGAACTTCTCCCTGTCCTGGCTGGAGTGAAAGAAGGAGGTCAAGGCTCAGATTCTTGCAATCTAGCCACTGCTTACTCATGTTCAGAATCCTTAAGAGTCTGCTCAATATGACAATGTTCTAATAAACCTTGTCTTTAACTGAGAGAAGGCTTGGGCCGAATTCTTTTGGGCAGGACCTGTGTGTTGTGATTTTGGGGTCCCCTGACCCCAAATTGAACCCCTAAATTGCATCATACCCATCTGTGAAAGGTTATGACCTGCATTTGATTCTGAAAAGGGAGGAGCAGCAGGAAAGAAAGGAAGGTCCTTGATCTGTGAATGCCTTGGTTCTCAGCTCTACTAGGGAGCAGTTACTAATGTATGAACAAGCCTCAGGTAAGAACCAGGAATTCACATCTTGAGAAGGGGCTTCAGGGTTCCGGGCAGGGATAAGGCAGACTCAGAGATTTCCTATGTGTGCAGTAAGCAGAGAAAAAGGTTTAAGTTGAAGAAAACATCTCAGAAGAAACAAGGAAACGCGACCTCTTCCCCAGAGCTGATTGAAGACCTCCAGAAAGAACTCATCTGCTCCATCTGCAGGGACTACTTCACAAACCCAATGACCATTGAGTGTGGACACAGTTTTTGTCATGGTTGTCTCAGAAGCTGGCAGGAAGCTTCAACCTCTTTCTCCTGTCCAGAGTGCAGGGGTGTCTCTCAGCTAAGGGATTTCAAAGCCAATGTTCGACTTGGGAAACTGGCAGCCATTGCCAAAAAACGAAGACCTCATTGTTTGCAGTACCTGAAGAACATGGCAAGTGTGAGGTACATCAGAAAGTGTACAAGCTGTTCTGTGAGGATGACCAGAGCCCCATCTGTGTATTCTGTTCTCAATCCCAGGAGTGTGAGGCTCACAAGCTCTGTCACATAGATAAGGCTGCTGAGAACTTCAGGCAGAAACTTGAAGAAACTGTGACTAATTTGTGGAGGAAAACTGAGAACATTGTTCAACAAATGGCCAATGACAAGATTAAGTTTGCATTGATGGAGTAAGAAATAGAAATTCAAAAGAAGAGTATTTTGTCTGAATTCCAGAAAATGAAGCAATTCCTAAGTGAAGAGAAGGATGCATATCTATCATATGTCCAAACACAGGGGATGGCCATTTTAGAAGACCTGAACAAGAGAATTAGTGGATTGTCCAACCAGGATCAAGAATTAAGGATGAGGACCACAGAGTTAGAGGAGGAGTGTAAGAAACCTGGATCTGGATTTGCTCCAGGATATGAAAGGAGTCTTAAACAGGAATGCATTTGTGCTGCAAAAGGAAACAGAACCCTTCCACATATGCATGACTAGCCTTCCCATCTCTGGAGTTATGGAATGGATTTTCAATTTTAAAGTGAACATCACTCTGGATTGCAACACAGCTGTTCCCGGTCTCATCATATCTGAGGATTTGAAGAGTGTGAAATATGGAGGTGTCCAGAAGGAAGCACCTGACAATAATTTTGCACAAGTCCTTGGTGCTCAGTCTTTTATTTCAGGGAGATATTACTGGGAGGTGGAGGTGCCAAATAACACTATCTGGGGTGTTGGCATCTGTAAAAAATCAAAAGAGTCTCAAGACTTCTTTGTGCCTAGGACTGTACAGGTACACAATTCCTACCACCTATATGCTGCAGCCCAGCATAATCTTTATTCCCAAAGTCCATATAAAATACCGCCAGGTCAGTGTGCCCAACTTAAAGGTGGGAATTTTCCTTGACTATAAACATGGAGAGATATCATTTTATCATGTGAAAAATAAATATCTAATTTATACTTTCCCTATCACTTCATTTTCAGGACCCCTCATGCCATTTTTCTATCTTTCTAAGAAAGTCCTGACAAATGATTGCTCTCTTACAATCTGCCCCCAATGGAGAGAAATCAAGAAATATACATTATTGGCCAAATAGACCTCAGGCACTATGTTACCCCAATTCCTGAGTACTCTGTTGTATGAGAATAATTGTACCTACTTGCCCTGCTACAGAGAATAACTTTTCCTATTTTATTTTTGTATATGTTTTCTCTAGACCCAGTAGAATGTAAGCTATGTCATATCAGGAATTGTTTCACTATGCTCTTTGTATACCCAGTGCCAAGAATGTTCAATAAATGCTTGTTGAATTGGAAAAAAAAAAGAAAGAAAATAGAAAAAAAAAGGTCAAAGGAAAGAGGAAGGGATTTCTTCTCTCCCCTTGAATAAGAGCAGAAAATGCTAACTTTGCCAGCAGCTGACCTGAGGTGGGGAGCCAGTAAAGGCAGTCTCTGCACCTGAATTCAATTCCTGGCTGTCTTTTATCTTCCTTTCCTGAGCACAGGTTAGATAGAGATGAACTATTCTGAAAATGACAGTTTCTATCTTTGGGGTTGTTGCCTAATCCTGAGTTCAAGAGATAGGCACTAAGTTCCCAGAGTGAAACTTCCTTAGTAAAGTGTTTCTCTCAGAAGAAGCCTGCTAGCAATGCATCTGGGGTCACTAAAGTGATGTCACTAGGAGCCAGGAGCTCTGGACCTTCCCATCCCTCCATGACAGTGCTGTGCTAGTAAGAAACAATTTCCCCCAAAGTAAATGGGGAGTGTTTGTTCAGCAGTTGCCTGCCAGGCAAACTTACCGGGCTCTTTGTTCTGTTTTCTGTATTTATTCATGGGCTCTTGTGTCCTTTTGATCTCACATATTTTTATTGCTGTTAAATAAAAGCTGTTACCACATCTGACCTCTATACTGTACACTGAATAACTTTGCAGGAGAAAACCCTGCCATCCACCTTTAGGAAGACCTAGAAGTCACTCATACTTAAATTTTGATGGAGAAATAAAGATGCAGGGGTGGGGAACCTGCGGCCTCGAGGTCACATGTGGCCTTTGGATTCTCAAAGGGGCCCTTGAGGCCCTAGAGGGCCACATGTGGCCTCGAGGCCGCAGGTTCCCCACAGCTCCTGGTAGGGAATAACAGTCCCAAGAGAGAACCTGACCCACGGGGTCAAGCACCCAGGATCTGACTTGGGGCTGGATGTTCCCAAAGTCCTTTGAGAAAGGGCTAGCTAAGACATTTTGTGCAAGCCACACATCCCAAAAATCTCTCTAATAGTTATGGACTGCATTTCATCAAAAATCAAGTGATGTCACTTGGCCCATCCTCCCCCTACAAGAATGACAGGATTTAAATCTGGGAGAGACCTTAGAGATGGAGTTCAACTTCCTTTTATAAGTGAGGTAAGTGAGGCCGGAGGAGAAAATGAATTTTCCTAGAGACACACAGGCAGGCCACCATGTGCAAAGGTGAGATCTGGATCCAGGTCCACCAGCCCAGACCTGGTGCTGTTTCTACCATCCCAGCACTGTCTATCTTGAAGAAAAGCTTCAGAAGGCACAAGTACATAAGATTAAACTACAAAGAGAGATTAGGAGAATGGAAAAAATTTAGACCATAGAAGAGGCGAGTGAGGGGGTGACTTTAAAATGGCTTTCAAATATCAGATATGCCAGTGTAGCAATTGCCCTTTAGCCTTGTTGAAGACAGAACAAGTAGAAATGTCCTGGAAATTCAAAGTGAGATGTTCAGGTTAAATAGAAGGAAGTACTTAGTTTCAGTGAGTGTTGTTAGTCAGACAAGCTCAGTTATCCAAAGTGACCTTTAAAAATAGGTTAGTCATTTTTTTAGGGGGAGGGGAGTTGAATTTGTGCCCATTCTAACAGGAGGCAGAGTAGAATACACACATATACATACACACATACAAACAAGTTTGGCTTTGAAAAGCAACAAGAAAAACTAACTATAAAAGAAAGGAATAAACATTTATATAATGTCTATTATGTGCCAGGCACCGTACTAAGCAACTTTTTACAAATATTATCTCATTTGGTCCTCAAACAACCCTGGCAGGTAGGTACTACTATTATCCCCATTTTACAGTTGAGGAAATTGAAGCAAACAAAGGTTAAGTGACTTGTCCAAGGTTACATGGCTAGTGAGTATCTGAGGCTGGATTTGAACTCAGGCCTTCATGACTCCATCTCCAGCATTCTGTGCACTGCACCACCACCTGCATCTGCTATAACATAATAATACCCACAAAGAAAATTACTTAGGTAATGGTGGATAATCACAAGCATGGCAAATTTGCTGGGGTTTTTCTTTTTTTAATTTAGGATTATTCATGTTCTCTAAGAATAACAGCTGTGAAAATCCTATGAGGAAAATGTAGCTATTAGAACTGTACAGATACACTTAATACATCCACTTACTATATTTGTAGCTTCTCAATTTAAATATGTAATTTAAATATATGTATACATATACATTTACATACAAGAAAATTACAGTATATACAAACCAAGTGGGAAAAGAAAAGCATTTTAAAAGACCTTAGAAGTTCTTCAATATCTCCATCCTATTACAAATGGCACTACTATATACAGAATACAATTTTATAAAATGAATTCCATAAGCAAAATGTTTTCTTTGGTTTAGCAAAATGATCCCAAATGAGAAAACTCATCTTGTCAATACTCTAGTTAAACATTTCTGAACTGGGACTCTCTTGTGACAGCTGATCACTGCAGGGGAAGGGATAGAAGAATACAGCTGATTTTCTTTACTCTGGAATTGGCACTTGGGACAACTCTGTGAACACTGAGGATCACTGGAGGAGTGAGCCTCTAGGTCATTTCACAGTGCAAAGTAAGACTAAGGAGTCCTGCCAAAGTGGGAGAGGTAAGTCTCCACTCTACTTATGGTGTTCCCCACTGGTAAGCATCCAATGGAATTCACTAACATGAATTTATGTGGTTCTAATGTTGGTCTTCAATGATCTCTATGATCCTGCTGAGCTTTCATTTGGTAGGGCAGTGGTAGAAGGAAGGGAATGGAATCCTCGTTGACTCGTTTATTTAGAATTCTGTTATTTTTACCAAGCTCCTGTTTTACTCCCAAATTTTAAATCAAGAAAAAAAATACATTCAGCCCTCAAATATCTTTATAAAGAATTATTGACTCATTGCTGATCATAATAATCAACACTGGCATAATTGAATTTCCTTTCAAATTAACTATTGTAATAGTCTTTTCCTTTGATTTTCTAAGGTGGACATTCATAGACATGGCTAAAATATTTCAAAGCTCCAGAGTCAGTTTCCTGAGCTAGTGAAATTTCTTTCTTTCTTTTTAAATGATAAATAAATACCTTTTCAGTTTTATTTCCCTATGCTTTTTACTTTAGGTATGAGAAGAAATAGATTGAAGGGCATGAAGCAGAGAGAAGAATAATAATAAGATGCAGTATTTCCCCATTGTCCAAGGGAAGGTGTTGCTTCCCTATACATTGTAACTCCCTTTAAGCAATTATATTGTTTCCAATAAGGATTGCTTTCATGAAGGTATCAGGGCTAATCCCAGAAGACAGAAGTATCTTCTCCTTTAGGGGCTCACTTTACAGTATAAAATCATAAATTTAGAACTGTAACTTCAATGACCATCTACTCCAACTCCCTCATTTAGTGAGGTTAGGAGAAAACAGGTGACTTGTGCAAGGTGAGGTGGGTAGTAAGTAGAAAATAAAGGATTTGAACTTAGGTCCTCATATTCAAAATTCATCACTCTTTCTACTGTCTCACTTTTATAACTACATTATGCTGAAGCTGGCATGAGAGGTATTTCGCTAAAAGTAGAAAAGTCCAAAATCTTCAAATATTCACATTTTCCAGCATCTGTGTTTGACATATGGAATTGGTTGGAATTGTCATTTCAAAGTTTAAGGACGGAAGGCTACAAGCAGAATCTTTATACTGCCAGCCTCTTTTTATTTGTTCATAACCCAACAATAGCTCCCAAGAACTCTATGATAGTCATTTCTAAGGAGGTGCAAGGAGGGCTGTGGGGTGACTTGAGATGACAGAGTTGTTTCCTCTTTCTCCTTGCTTCCCCCCTCTACAAGATGTCTTAGCTGGCTCTCAAATATGTTTTACTTTTGAAGGAATCTTAGGAAAGGAAGATGGAAAGGCAAGTAGAAGGCAGAAGAACTTGTGCTTCTTTTCCAGGAGTTGTTTTGGGGTAACCTTCAACATTTGAGAAAAGTGAAGGATATTGTTGATCATTATCATGGCTAGCTAGCAGCTTCTCATTTAGATATCGGAATTCAAACACCCTCCCAACAAACCCTACATCCAGAGGAGAGGAGTCCTCTGCCCCTGCCAGGCTTTACAAAATACATCAACATGAAATGGCTTCATACTACTAGAGGGCAGCAGGGTGGATGACTGCTCCTTCTCTGCCTCTTCTGTGGTGTGTGGGAAGCAGAAAACTCTTCACTTCCTTCAGAAGTCCTTATCCCAACCCGACATTTCATCTGGGGGTATTCCCTTCTCAGGGGGATAGTTGTCAAAGTAGCTGTGATCTACGGGTCCATTGAGCTAATAGGAAAACAATGGAAGCAAATGTAAACAATATCACAGTGTCCCAAATGAATGGTTCTCAGACAGTCAAAATGGTGATTTTATGCTATGATCACTCCTTTTTTTTTTCTAACCAAAAAAAGAAAGATTTCACAACAGAATATTTGAATCTTCAATTCAAATCTAAATAAGACAAATCTCATAACATAATTTTTCTGGCCAGACCTGTGATTTCATTGGGGTAGAGAACCTAAGGTGTCAAAACTCCTACCAGTGCAAACCAATCCCTGGGGTCAGAGGGCTGCCTGGACACAGGGAGGAAGAGGAGGAGTCTCAGAAGCAGGCGTTAAGCTCAGTTCTTGCTGACTCTAAAGCTGCCTTCCATCCTCCATGTCATTAGGTGCCCTCTTTTTGTAATCAACATCCCAACTTGTTTCATATACTGTAATTCCAAAGGGTCTTTTGTTATTTTGGGGAAGAGATGAAATGTTAAAAAAAAAATGAAACCTATTCAAGCCCA